TTCGAATTCCGTCAAAGTCCCCGTTGCAGTTCCAATCTTGGTCTTTTCATCGTCTGACTAATTCATCCTTCGGCTTCGTCGAAGAGTAGTCAGAAGGTCTGCTCCGTTACCAGCATTCTCTATATGTAAACGTTCTTGGATAGATGCTTCAACCCATTCGGGTCTTCTAGCTCGCGTTGTGAAGGTTAAAATTTGCCCATAACAATCTTGTAGCTTTCGGAGAAAATTAAATTCGAAAATTAAAAAATAAAGAAAAATAAACGTTAAATATCATTAAAAATTTTTATACGAACCCCGAAAATTATTTAATAGTCTGCAGATCCCCTTTATGGCAGAATAGTACATTTTTACGATAAAAAGTATCTCTTCTATAAAGTGAGTTCTGTCTCACTAATTTATCAAAGTTGTGCAGTATTAGATAATTTATTAGTACATACAACTTTTTAAGGCTTCAACCTCCTCCCGCGAGACTTCCAAGATGAATAATTTTGAGGCTCGACTTCCCTTGCCGAGGATTTTCTAACAGTGTGTTCGAATCTAATTCTTTTTTAGAGTTGTTCTCCGAATCATAAAGGCCCTATACCCCCTTTCTCCAGTGAAGAATCCTCCATGATCGGAATTGAATTTTCGAGCGTGCGCGAGCGTCGACCAATGAACTCGCGATTCTTCCTTACAGTCAAAAGTTTCGTCGTTTGCCTCCTCGAAAGTTTTCGCCGGCTGGCGAGAAAATGTCGGTGGACCCCATTTGCGAACGGTTGTATCCCATTGCGGCCGAAGCCCGCTGTGATTGTTTGTCTCCCAAGGCGGGTGTGTAATTGATGTCGGGTCTCTTTGAAAGCAGTCGCTGGGGGAGAGAGCACCTCTTGAGTACTCTTTCGGACCGCCGATTGCAGACAAAGCGTCCCCCCTTCAAACGACGCGAGGGCGAACTGTCATAAAACGCCTCAATAACAAACAGAGAAGAAAAAGCCCCCGCGAGGTTGGGGCAGTACTAACGACTTCAACGGTCACTAGCGTGGTAGACCTGCTCATTTTTATTGATAAACATTTACGTTCGAATTCGCCGCTAGTACCGTTACAATACATTATGAAGAAATCCAAAAATGATATGTTCCAATGGTCAGAGTGTAAGATAATTGAAAGATTTTATTTAAACAAATTGTACCAAATAATTTGAACAGTATCATTATTCCAACAATAGATAACTGGACATCTTCCATTTTTGTTTTCCTATTACGATACGATTTTACGAAATAATGTGACATTTAAACATTTTCCCCAGTTTTTCATCTATGTATTCACATTAAATATTCATTTAAAAATTGTTTATGAACCAAGAAATTATTAATAGTCTGCAGATCCCATTTATTGGGCGAATGTACATTTTTTACGATAAAAATATATCTCTGTATAGAAGTGAGGTTCTGTCTCACAATTTATGCAAATCGTTGCATATTAGAATTAATTTTTATTAGTACATACAAAACTTTATTAACTTTTTATAACATTCGTACACAAACTTTACCAATAAAATCTTTGCATTTATGTTTTTAACCATCTTTCTCGCCATCTGTGATTCTTGGGGAGTAGAAAGGGGAGTTTTTGGGGATTTGGAGTTTATGAATTTCTGCAAATAATTAAATTAATTATTTGTAGTAAACCATAAGAAACGCAGATAATATTTCATGGATTATTTCTACAAGCACCACATCCAGCACACTTTCGCACAACTTTACTTTGAAATGCGGCCCAAAACGCACAGCTGCACTATCTGCAGCAGGTCCGTGACTTGAGGAAACAAACTTAGTTCCCTTTTTAACATTGATAAACCAGGACGAACCGTGCCCTGATGTTCGACAGGCATCGGTAGCGAAACTTGGCGGTCAAAACGGGGTAATGATTTTTGCCTCATTTACAATAATCCGAGTGAGCGAACTAACGTGTGACGTCATTGCAATTCAAAAAAACTCGACATGTAGCGGTGTTGTTTTCCGCTGTACGTGGAGGCTGCAAGCAGGAGATGCTCATTTTTATCGAATTTTTCAGCATTTTATTAGTATGTAGAATGTCATGCATTATTAAGTATGAGTGAATTATGTCCGATATTTATTGTCATGTCTAAAACTTTGTTTTCAGTATTTGGAAGATGATATTAGAAAAACTGATGCTAGGACAAGTACATTGCTAGGAATTTTTGCCCTACCAGCAGTGGAACGTATATATAATTCATTTTGTTGCATAATATGTAATTGGTGTATTTCATTTTATGAATTATTTACACCATGCAAATAGGCTTAAAAATTCTAAAACCATGTAGTTATAACCTAGCCTGTAACAAGTTCCATTTCTGTCTATTGTTTTAAAAAGTTTGTAATTATATTATTTCGTAGTATTGGAAAAGTTTTGGTAACATGTCCATTGTATACTCATGTATCCATTTGCAATACCCTGATTCAAAATTCTCATTTTCCAAATATACATTAATTCATTATTGTTTGATGTTCTAGAATAGTACAGTCTCATTTAGTGTATGATGAAATAATGTAATTAATTTATTTTTTTTTTTGCGTAGGTGTACGACTTACCGTTCTCCATTCTGGAGCGGATCTTCGGTTTGCAGTAATGATAAATCTGCAAGATTAAACGAATTGACTTCCAAAACATTAGAAGATGAAATTGTATCAAAAACTGTTTCTTAAAGCCCAGCTTCTTGTCTTCTCAAAGAACATTTCAAAGAAAATCTTATTAGAAAGATGGCCAGTGAAATCGTTTTTCCCTTGATGGCTGCATTACTGGCTAGTCTTATATATTGTAGACAAATATATTATTTCAGTAAGATATATATATATACATAATAAATATAATATAATTATATATTATATATATATATATATAAATATATATATATATATATATATATTTTTGTACCGACAAGCACTGGAAATAATTATATAAAAAAAATCAAAACAACTTTCAAGTGAACAATTAAAAAACTTTTGTTTGGAATGTGTAATAAAGAACTGTGATGTAATAAATAATATACTGCTGAATATATAAAGTTTATTTTAAAATTTAAAAATATTAAATGGATATATTACTTTTTGGATATTTTCACATACTTCAGTGCTACAAAAGGTTAATAATTATAAGATGATTTTTAATTAATGTAGCCACCCCTACATTTTCTACATATACTGTTCAAAATTCTGCTAATTGTAACACTTCAGTATTGTTCTACCCATTTCAAGGTCTTCAAGAAGAAAGTTTGTGTGTAGACTTTTTGGAAAATATTGTCAGATGATGTAGTATCAATCTAGATAGTATAGAATAATGAAAAATCTGTGTATTGTACCTAAAACAAGAAAATCTTGTGCCAATTGTTTACTTTTAAAGTTAAGATTGCCTAAAAACTGCGGAACCCAGGCGAAATTGAAAGTGTTATTCTTCCAACAAATTTCATTTCATAATTTTTTTTAAACAAGCGCAATTCCCTCTTAATCCCAGAACACTAAGCACATTTAACTTGCGTATGTTATACTAACTACAAGACGAGAATCAACTTGCCAGAACATTAAAACTAAAGATTTAACTGTAACATTTGTTTCATTTTCCTGATTTTCAAGATTTACCCCAAAATATTCACGGGTACCAATGATTGTTATGTGTGATCAATATTACCAATTTCTATTTTTGGGTAAAAATTGTCACCAAAAATACAAGGCTTGTATATTTCAATCATGATTTAATCCAATATTTTTTAAAACAATAATTTAAGTTATTTTTTCAATATTACAAATATTAGTATAGAGGAGGAGAACTTAAACCAATTACACAGTTTTATACCAAAGAATACAATATTTCTTATAAACGTTTTCACATAATTAACATTCGAGAAAAAAATACAATTAATTATACTATTAAATGAGCATGCTTATATATGAACAATAAACCATTTGTAATGTTATTACTAATGACTTGGATGATATAATAGTTTGTTATCCAGCATTTCAATTGTTTGTTAGATAAAAGCAAAAATATTTGTGTTAAATAAAACAGTAATAATACAATATTTAAAAATATATTTAAATTCAAGTTAATCTGATCATAAGAAAAGCAGTAATACTCCTGTTTTCCCTACCACGCCACACAGATTATTCGCACAACCTTACTTTGAAAATGCGCGCCAAAACGCCAACAGTTGCGCTATTTCTGCACAGGCCCGTGGACTGAGGAAACAAATTTTGTCCCCTCGCCTTTATAACATTGAGTGAAACCGGCCCTGTGTTCTTTCTGGTGTCCATTAGACCTTCGTCCCCTCCATGAAAATAAGAGCTTCAGAATAACATTGGGTGCGTGCCGACTCTGTAATATACTCTCTGCTGGTGTCGCTGTCGATAGTTCTTCTAGCCTGGTTGTGTTCTCTTGAGAAAATTAGAACACTAAAAATATTTGCCCAATTTGTGTTGAACCAGTACTCTACAAATTTTCTTTGTAACATGGATCCAGTAAAAATATTGTCGGAGAGTGTAATTAAAGTAGAGAACGTAAGTTCTATTCTCTAATCAAATAATTTTTTCGTAGATAACGTGTGTATTTATTTATTTATTTATTTATGTCAAAAACAGTTAAAAACTGTGAGACGTGCTATGGGAAGAAGTAATTTGAAGTTACAGATGTATAATTTATATATTATAATTATTTAAGAATTGATATATTATTTATCAAGGAGCAAGCATTTACTTCTGTTTTTATTGTTTCTAATTTCAAAATGTTATATTTAAAAATATAAAAGACTGTTGGCATTAAATACAATTTAATGAAAGTTTCATTAGCTCTCACAATCAACATGTAGTTGTCAGTAATTATGCTTAGTAGTTATGCAATTTTCTTACTCATACAGTGTGTAGACCTGCTATTGTAATACATTGAAAAAGAGATGAATATCATATTCCAGACTTCATGTGGGTGCAGTATACTAAACGTTTGTGCCTTTATTGTAGGTAAAACAGGAACCTGATGATGATCCTCAAGAGGAAGCATATGATTTCACAGTGAGTAGATTGTTTATTCTCATTACAGTTGCTGAATATGAGAAGTTGAGACTAATGTTTATGATGTTTCCTAAGCCTTATTGCATAATAACTTACAAACTAATAAAATTAGTAAAAGTGCCAATAAATTGTAACATTTAAAATGTATCTGTTGCATATGAAAATGTATTAATATTACAATTTATTACAAAAGTTAGTAATAATAAATGGAAAATTTCGCATGCTTCTGTTGCATAATCCAGGCTAAGAATATTAGTAACGATTGTTTACTAGTACATTTCTTACAATCTTAAAATCAGTATAAGTGATGTTAGGTTGGTGGTGATACAAAATAAAGATATAGCATTAGATATAGAGGTAGAGAATTAAAATAATTGAGAATTTACTTTCTGATTCTTCTGATGAAGAAAACATCCACTGACAACCTAGAAGAGCCTAAAAGTTAAACCTAAAGTATATCGACAACAGATCAATTTTGAATTTTAAAATTTGAAAAGCTCTTAATTTTTAAAATGAAAAAGTGTCTTCCAGAACTAATATTTTAATTGTTTCATGAGGCATAAAATCCAATTATTTTTGTTTTAAAAATGTACTTGTCCTCTGTTATTCCTGTTGGTCATCAGAAATTTACTTTCACAATTAATTAAGTAAATTAGTGTTTTATATTTTGTGATGTAGGAATGTTAATATACTCTTAGTGATTCCTTCAGACAGATCTAAAAGGTGAAATGAAGTGTGTTTGTGTGGAATGATGAAGTATGTAATGATATTTGAATGTAATTAAATCCTCCCAGTCATTCCAATCAAAGGCATGGGTATCAAGCATCCTGAACATTATTGAACTAAATTATTTCTCATAGTCAAAGAAGTTCTACTAGGGTAATGAATTTGTTTATGTGAATGGATTACAATGAATTGTGAGTGCATCAAGTCAAGTGATTCACATAGGAAGAAATTAAAAACTTTATGAATTGATTTGGACGACAATGTTCTGCTACAATGAAATGAAGTGTCATTAAAAATTTGATGTTGTTTTTATTTTATTTTTTATATAAACTGAGCCAGTCCTACTGGGTACTACAGTTGCCAATTCAAGATATTTAGTCCAAGTTTTCTGGTGTTAGAAGTGCTTGATTGGTGTGTTTCAGTATTTCATGTACACTGAAGTGGCAACACACCTAGATATCTTTGAAAGTGTGATACCACACATCTTTGTTTCAAGGACTAGGTACGAGTTCCTATTTCTTCTTCTCTTTGCTCTTTATCAACTTCTCTCCCTGGGTCTGTTGTCACCTCTTTTCCGTTCAGTCCGTAAAACTCTACTTCTATTCTTCGAATTATTTCTTCAGCCATTCTATCAGTATGGAGCCTCCATGATTCACTGAAATCATAATTTTTGTTAATTAATGTAGTATATTTATCCAGTTTTTTATGAAAAATTTGCTTGTGATGTTGTCCTGTTTTGTGCAGGCTTAAACTATCAAGAGAAATGTCTTTCTAATTCATAATTTACATTATTCCGAAAAAGGAGAATTGCAAAAGCTGTTGTCATATGAATTTGTTATTGCTGTGTGTGTGTGTTTCTATTGTGAATTTATTATACCATGCAAAGGTTGAAATGTATTAGATTTATTTTCCAGGTTTTCATCTCTTTCATAAGTAATTTCATGCCCAAGGTAATTAAAATTAGATCAGTTCAACCTCTATACCTATTACTATTGTTGAATAAACAGGATATTTTTATAAAGGTCCTTAAACTTGTCATGTTTTTGATATTCGGAGAATTAGATGCCTCCTAATTGTAGTTTATAAAGAAGGCCTGGATATTTATGATGTGGCAATGAAAAGAACTTTAAAAAAACCTTTAGTGTACAGGAGCCATGGATTCCAAAATTGAAGAAGAGCTTTGCCATAACAGTTTAATGAAATTCATATGGCCAATATTACTTTGTTTAGTTCCTGTGCAATATTTATAGACATACAAGATTTAATATATTCTGTTTGTAAGAAGACTGTAAAAATGATAATTGGGACTTATAGAAGAATGTGATTTATCCCCAACCCTGTTTATTTATGAAGACTTAGTTTAATTGTTATTTAATATTTCTATTGTTGTTTAATGAGCATGTATTGCAATGAAATACAGATGTGACCAAAAGATATGTGGTTGAAACATTTGACCTCACCTATGGCTACAACCTTATTTAGAGTTGATCTCTAAGCCATGGAATTTCAAGAGAACTCGTTGACGCCCTCAATTTCTTGTAAAAGTAGAATAAAAAATGAACAAACTTTGCTTAAGTTTTGGAAATATACCACAGACTGAGATAAGCATTTTCACCATTGTATAGATAAGTATTTTCATTTTTATTCAAAATGTAAGTGAGGATTCTGGAATGATCCTTTGAGATTATTGATTATTAGTTTTTTTAAATGAGTTTTTTCTCTTAATTTCTTTCTGTTTTTTCCTCCCTTGTTATCTTTGTATCTCGAATTTTGTTCATCTTTGTAAAATAAAAAAATATGAGTAGTTGCATGTAGTAAACTTATAATTTGAAAGTTCAAGTTTGCATCAGAAATAATTTGATTTAGAGATTATTTAATTGCTTATGTTTTAATTTGCATCATTGCACGGGTAGCTAAATTCCTGCCCCCCAAAATTGCCAAATTTTTTGTTTTAAACCAACATAAATATATCTTTCAGAAACCCACTGAAAACTATTTAAACATTTTAATGATTTTTTAAATTATGCCAAATCAAGTAAAACTTTTAATTAAAATCAAATAATAATCAAAAATTAACCTCACTCTTGTATATACAAGTATGCAAAACAACAGATAAACAAAAGACAGTAAATTAACTGTGAAATACACACTTCATTTGGTAGTATTGGAGGCAACTCCAATTTCATCTCAAGAAAGAAGGTAATCCTATGGTGAAATGCAAGCTTGCTTTCCAACATTGCTGCATGTTTTACATGTGTTACTCCATTAAATGAACATAATAATGTTAAAAAGATGAAGTGAAAAAAAGAAGTTAAAAGAAACTAAAGAATAATTGAGTTACCTGTAAAGATTATACAAACTTGAAATCTTGAAACTGGAAGGTTCAGGAGGTGTGGTCGATCCTTTGATTCAACATATGTTGACTACACTAAATGTCAATGTCTTAGATTTTACTGTTTAAATGATGAAAATCAGTATTGTATGTAACAAAGTTTATAAAATCATATTTCCGAATCTATTTCTTCTTTTTCTTTTACTGCTATACACTTATAGTGCAGAGGCTAGTCTCCAGAAGCCCCTAGCACACAGAGGACAACCTATAGGGTTTACCACCCATCTGGTGATAAATTACATTATCAAATGTGAATTCAATATTAGCCAAGATGCAACAGACCAAATAATAATTTCAAGTTTGGGGATGAAGGTCAAATCATTTTAATCGAGGTTTTCACTATATACGGTGATGTGGAATGTTGGGATACATTCCAATGACATCTAAGGAAGCCAAAATATAATTGTCTGGTATACATATTCCATTCATTTAAGTCACTAATTCCTTACTATTAAGGACAATATTTTGTGAATATAATGTAAGGAGGGGGTTTAGAATTGTTTTTGGTATGTGCAAATTCATAGGATGGAACATAGGAGGAAACACCATCATTTCAAGCTTATGGTCAGTTTACAATTGGCCTTTCCTCATTGCAGCAACTGAACTGTTTTTGTTTGCAGGAAGGAGACGACCTGTGCCCCTTGAAGAGAGAAATGAAGATGGAAGATGATGAAGAGGTGAGTTGTTGTATCTGTTTCTCCTCTATTGATTTCTTTTTTATTCAGTCTTTGACACATTGGGAATGTGAATGTTATAATTATAATAAAGAATAGCAATTTTAATTAGTCCTGCTGTACCATTTCAATCGTGCCTCTTCAGATGGGTTTTGGTCTCCCAGTAAACAGGATATATATAGATATATAGGTAAATTAGAATCAAAATGTTATTTTACTCCCTACAGACAGATTGGTTCATTGTAATCATTTGAGCATTCTCTGTGTCTGGCTGATTATCCATATGCATTAGCATAAACAAAACTTTAATTTTTTATCCTTATTATAAAGAATAAATCATGTTAATTATTACAATGACCCTATACCTAGTTTCTTGGGCGTTTCTTTTTTTTTCTCTCTCTTGGCATCATTCACCTTACTTTAATTATAGTCTCAACATTGTTACAGTTTGCTTAAGTTTGCAGCCGGCAATTTAGAGGATCTAAGAAACAGTTCAATAGAATATGCATACATTTGTTAAAAAATAATTTTATCAGTCTCACCTCGACACCATGGGCCGAATTCATAGTCGTCACTTATACGATAAGCAAACCCTTAAGTGATAAGTGCTTTCTCAAAATTAGTGTTCCCTTATAGGCGCTCGTATTTCATAGA